TTTGTATTTGTAAATCTGACTGTAAAGGAGTCAGATTTACAAATACAAATTGTCTGTTAACAGACTATTTGTTAACGGTTCATTTGTATTTGTAAATCTGACTGTAAAGGAGTCAGTGCCTCACCAGCTGTCAACCTCACCACACGTCACTGCTGCTCTGAGAAGCTCTACCTGCAGAGATGAACAACCAGTGTGGACCAACAGGCTCTACACAACCTGATTTAACTGCTTTATCAATCAAATCACTCTCTGGCTGTTGATTATGTGGAAAATAAATCAAAGTACCATGGCTCTATTGATCAGGCGCATCGTGGTGAGCGCTGACAGAGCTGCACACCTCTGAGGTACCTGACTGGTGCAGGGGTCACCGGTGTGGGTCAGGATGGATCCTTGGTGTCTGGGACACATTTACAATGAGTTCAGGTTGGGAGCAGGTGAACGCACCGTGTCGAGTAGAGAAGGACAAACGTGTGTGACGTGCCGACATCAGTACTGACCTCCGACTTTAACGTGCAGGACGTCGCTCAGCCTGGGACGCCTCTGAAGGACCTGAAGGAGAAAACACACACCTAACACTAAATTAAACAATAACTGATCAATAATTTGATCGGTAGAAAATGTCAACATCGCCAAAACGTTTGTCACTCAATAACTCGACTTATATTATTAAAGTCGTTAGAGGCGACACACACACACACACACACACATTTGGCTCTAACAGACAAAAACTACAGTTCCTCTGGTTTGTGGTTCTTTGTTTTCAGTGACGCGCGCGCACACACACACACCTTTAATGTGCTGAGACGTGTCCAGCTCTTCAAAGTAATCTGACAGCGAGACCTCGACCACGATAGACCTGATGCTGTCACACGTACGTGCACACAGGACACGTGATTAATCATGTCAGCATGATAGCAACGGTGTGTAGACAGGTGGGGGCGTGTGTCTCAGTGTGGAAGTGCAGGACGACCTGACCGCTGACAGGCGTGTGCGTCAGGATCAGCGTCTGCAGACTCTACGGGGCCACTGCGCACAGCTCTGGCTCCGCCTGCAGGCCGAGGTCGGAAACACGCTCCAAGTCCAACACCTGGTGAGCACAGCTACGAACTGCACACACACAGCACAAAACACACACGGTCTGTTCTGTTAGTTGGTTTCTACGGTTTGTTTTATGTTTCTATGAACTGGATGGTTTGAGAAACAAACATGTCTGACAACGGAGAAGCCACAACAACAAGAAGGAACTGAATTTGAACGACCAAATGTTCTGTAATGGATGAATAAACGGAACATTTCTACAATAGTCTGTGACGTCATCTGGCTGGACGTTTGTTCTTTGTTTAAACTCTAGCACATTTTTCTTCATAGCAGCTTAAACAAAAGAACTTCTGGTTTTTGAATTAGTCCACTTAGAAATGTCTCATATTGAAAACAAAACTGATATTTTTTTGGAATAATACTAAAGCTGTTATTAGAGAAAACCTCCACTTTGCTCCTCTGTAGCTCCACCTTCACCCTCTCCTCCACCTCTGCAAACATCTGGGTAATTTTACGATCTAGCCCCAGAACCAGTCGCTCCTCCAGCCCAAGCTCCAGGAGTCCCACCTCATAGAGCGTCTTCACAGGTAGAGGCTCCAGAGAGCCAGGGAGGGCCAGAGCAGCAGAGAGCTCCTCTGGATGTCCTACAGAGGAGGCTAGACGGCGATCCAGAGGGTCGAACATTCCCCTGAGAAGTTGGACCGAGGCGGATGTCAGGGGGAGGCTGTGGAGTTCCATGGCCAGAGGCGAGCTCCGTCTTTTGGAGACAGCTGGGCCGAGGGGTGGGAGGAGAACATACGGCCTGGAGCTTCTCACCCGACCCTGAAACGTCAGATAACTGTGGCTTCTCTGTGTGGTTGGAGTAACTCTTTCAAACTTCTATATAAAATTCCTGAAAAGGTTTAATACTGTCTCTCAGGATTTCAGTATGTGTTTACACTTTTAGGTGGTAATGCTGCATGTTATGGTGTACAAATATTATTATGAGGGTTAATCAGCATCAAACTGTTAAAATGCTTTTAGACCGTTACATCAGAAAAGGGTTTATCTAAAATATCCAGCTGCTTACTCATCACATAACACACACTATTCTTTAAATTTCCTATCCTTAATAACACCTTAGGTCAACTAAATACTGTGCAAAACAAATATGGTCTTAAGTGTCCAGTGACACAGCTTTCATTGGTTATTTCAGACTAAATTTAACACTTCCTCAAAGAGCCAGAGTGTACTGGTTTATAAAAGTTTCTCAGTACAGTAACATCTGAGGGTTAAGGAGGTAGCTGCCACAATAACTGCAGGTTGTTGTTATTTGGGAGGTTTGGGGTCTTATCCTGAATTAATAACATGAAAGAGGGAGGTCTGCAGGGAACTCTGTTCACAGGTTCATGGTAGTTAACTACTGAGCGAGTATCTCCGTCATACAACCTCAAGCAGTGTTTGGAGCTTTAATATGTTTCAAATATGCCACCTTAGTGTGAGAGGTAAGCTTTATTCCTATGTCCAGGGGTTAGCATATCGTGGCCTTCAAACAAAACACTTAGAACCAGGGCTGCAACTCAGGATTACTGCCATCCCAGACCAGCTGCCGACTGTTTTCTCAATTAACCTTCTACAAAATGTCGGAAAACCACTGTAAATGTTCCTCCTCACCTTCCAGAGCCCAGAGTGTTGGAGCAATGGTCTGAAGCCCAAAGATATTCCCTTTACTGGTTTTAAACAGACAGGAACAAATCTTCACACTTCGGATGCTGACAACAGCAATGTTTGGTCATTTTTGCTTAGAAAATCTCTCAAACAACAGTTGCTGGTTAATTTTCAGCTGAGCAACTGATCAGTTGTTTCAACTCTACATATGACCCACGTTTTGGTACACGGCAGTAAACAACGTGCTTTGGACTGTTGTGTGGACCAAACACGACACCTGAACTGGTCTCCTTGAGAATCTGTGTTGACCATTTCCCACCTTTTTCTGTCCGAACACCTAATAGTAGAAATGACCTGCAACGGCGGCAGCAGGGCCTCGTAGGTGTACCGGCTGACCAGGTGAGCATGGAGCTCAGGTACAAATGAGAAGCGAAGCCCATCACCACAGGGAGGACAAACGTAGGGCAGCTCCATGAAAGACATGATTCACCATGGTTTCTCCTCTCCTCCCCTCTCCTCTCTCTCCCTATGCTTCTATATGCCACCATTACCCATTACTAACTTTGTGTCTCCTCTCTCCCGTAGTGTGTCCTCTCTCTCTCCCTGTACCTTTCTACAGGTAGCCCTGGCCCTGGAGCTCTACGTCTCTGACGACCAGTCACCAGCCACATCGACCTGATCAGTGTTTGTTTGTTGTGTCTTGTTGCTTTTCTTCTTTTGTCTCTCCTCTATCCACTCACCCCAACCGGTCGAGGCAGAAGGCCGCCCACCAAGAGCCAGGGTCTGTCAGAGGTTTCTTCCTTTAAAGGGAGTTTTTCCTCCCCACTGTCACCAAGTGCTTGCTCAAGGGGATTTGTTGGGTTTTCCCTATGTAATAATATTGATAACAGTAAGGTCTAGACCTTAGTTTGTAAAGTGTCCTGAGATGACTTTTGTTGTGATTTGGTGCTATACAAATAAAATTTGATTTGATTTGATTTGACCAGGGAGCTGCGGACCTGGAAGATAAAACAGGAAGACAGAGAAGAGACGGGAACTGGCAGAGGAAAAAGAGGAAACGGAGTCCTCCTTCTCCAGACACATCTCGTCTCAGAGAATGAGAAGACCTGAGCAGAAACTGGGTCACTGTGTGTTTACTACATAACTGATTTTGTGGAGATGAAGATTTAATGAGGCTTAAAAAATGCAGATCAAAAAGATCAAAATGTGTACTGAAACTACAGCGAGCCTTTAACAACCCAAACTATAGATTTGTCAGGTGCTTTAAAAGGTGTTTTCACCTTTTAACCACCGGGCTTCGAGCTGAGATCCACAGACAGTGGAGTCAAAACACATGTTGTGTCACGACTACTGAGCTTTCTTATTGGAAAACCAAACAACCACAGAGACACAAAATGACCAAACGAGGAGATGAGAGAAGAGAGAGGATGACCAAACCCAACTAAGACTCAGACTGGTCAGGAATTACTGCTAAGGATTTATAGAAGTGATACGATTCTAAAATAAGACCAGACTGTTGGACTGGGACTGTGAAAATACAAGTGGGTGAAACTTGCTGTTACCATGGAAACATGACTACCACGGTTCCAAAAACCGAAGAAACTGTAAACTTGTTGCCTGGCAACAGCAGTCAGTACATGAATAGAAGAGGAAAATCTGTGGTGATGATGATGATGATGAAGAAGCAGCAGACCAGAGTCTTTCCAGCTGTTTGTTTGTTTATTGACAGCAGCCTTCATGCAGAACTGTTTGACACAGCAGAGACCAGGACACAAATCCCACAATGCATCAGTGCATCGCTGCTTAAACCTCAATCATCACAATGAAACTTATGTAATAAAGTTCACTCAGCATCAGAGGAGACTTAGTCATTTCATAGAAAAGTAACATTGTGGCACATTCTAGAAATATACACACTCTCCTTGGAAAACAGTGGCACGTGAAGAGGTAGACAAAGCATGTAGAAAAATAGAGCTATCAAACATAGAACTGCTCAGTGCTGTCAGATAGAAAGCTGGACAGAAAAATATCCGAGTCAAAGCAGGAACAGAAGCACAACGTCCTGACGTCAACATCCAGTCTCTTCACTGTTCACGTCCTCATGCAAACACGTACGAGACTGATATTTTACAGAAAGTTCGTCCAGGTGGACGGACTGCTCCTTTACAGGGCGCACACTCAGTCACAACGGCGAGAAGCACCGGGATGACGAGGGGGAAACCAGCTGGTCCAGGACCAGACCTTTACATCCACCCTCCTCCCTCAGGGGGGGGGGGGGCTTCTCCCACAGTCCTCCTACAGCGGACTGTGCCGTCCACGTGCACCTGGTCCAACATCTGGACTAAAGTCTCTGAACACCTTTAAACACGTCTCATTTCCTGTTCAAGGCGTCAGATAACATCGCCTTCAGGGTGACGTCACATGGAATCGTCAGTGTGACGCTTTCCGGTTGACGGTTCAAATCCTGAAGTTCGTCTCCTCAGCAGCCTCACTGGCCGAACGTGCGTGGGCTCGCGCTGCTGTTTAGACTCCAGGCGCGTTCAGGGCCAGGGAGTAGGCGGCCATCATCTGCGCGCGGAGCTGCTGCTTGACGTGCACACGCCCATGCCTCTTCCTCTCGTCGCTGCGCGCGAACCTCTTGCCGCACACATCGCAAGAGAAGGGCTTCTCTCCAGTGTGCGTGCGCGTGTGCGTGGTCAGGTGGTCGCTGCGGCTGAAGCTGCGCGCGCAGATGGTGCACTGGAACGGCTTCTGTCCCGTGTGGATGCGCACGTGCCTGTTCAGTTCATCCGAGCGCGAGAAGCGTCGCTCGCAGCCCTGCACGGAGCAGGGGAACGGCTTCAGCTTCAGGCCGCTCTTGGCGGGAGCTCTCCTTCCCCCGCGTGACAGTTTGGGGGCTCCAGTCGCGTGCACACTGCTGATGTTGACTATCGGGAACGCGCCCTGCAGGAAGGAGGAGAGGAGATGAGA